ACAGTCTTGCTTTCTCACCCAGGCTGGAGTGCAGTGGCACAATGTCAGCTCACTGAAACCTCAGCCTCCTAGGCTCAAGCAATTCTCATGCCTCAGCTTCCAGAGTAACTGGGACTACAGGCATCTGCCACCATGTCTGGCTGGTCTCAAACTCCTGGGCTCACGCGATCTGCCCACCTCGGCCTCCCAAAGTGCTGCAATTACAGATGTGATTCATAATTCTCTTCTACATGGTGATTTCTTAGTCTCTGAAAAACAACATACTGTCCTAATTCTGTTCCCATTAAAGGACCACATTGGGACACATTTGATGTCACTGACTAGTCAAAATCAACAGCTCTCAAAACACTTGCTTTTAGAAAAAAATTTAAACTTTCTCCAAAAATGAAATTATCTGTTAGTATTGTTACTACCTGGTAAAAAAATTTATTAGTATCAAAAGGCAAATATTTGAGATTCCTCAATTCCAACAAATTGGGAAGGTGGGAGCCATGAATAGTTATATTAGTAATGGCATTACTAACACACAGACCCTAAGTAGAAGGAGGATGCTATCAAACACAGGAACATTAGGGTAAAGTTAAAATTTGTAGTTATTCGGTGGGTGCTCAGCTAAGGAAGGAGCTTCCTGATGTCTTTGCCCAGGGTTTCCTTCAGGTGTGAATTCAAGTTAGACAGACAGGAGTGGAAGACAACCCAGGAAGCAGGGTCAAGAGTTCTGGGGGAATCATCATAGGTTTCTCCAGGGAGCATGATTAAGTTAACCACAAATACAAGCTTGTCAGCCTAAAAGCAGCAGCATCTCCTCCTAAGTTAGTGAAGAAAGTAGTCAGAGCCAGAATAGGATGAAATGAGTTGCCTCGAATTAAACTGCCACGGCTCATTTTTAGTTGCAAAACATGTTGCTTGAAAAGATACCAAAGAAAGAGCATGGACACAGATGGTGAAGAGACTGTCATTTGTAGCATACTAGCAAAGGGAGAAAAATCACTTTCAAGTTTTAAGTCTTTAAAAATACTTTGTGTTCTGTCACACACATAAGATATGTAACAGTCAAATCACATGCAAAGGGCAGTTTTTTATTCATCTCCAGAACAAGACCTATGTTTATTAGTGATGGTGAACAGGACAAAATGAATATTCTGGCCATATTGCACTTACGGCCTCAAAGACTAACAGAATCATCCCAATCATCTGACAGATGTTTCTAAGAGCTGAAAATGATCATCTGAAATATGGTATTCCCCCAAATCAATAGCAATTCACATAAAAGTTTCACATACTCATGTTTGTGAACTTAATGGTCTCAAACTGAAATAAATATAGCATAGTGTCATCCAGTTTATCCACACCAACACCAGTTCTTGCCTTTGGACAGCTAATTTCTGCCAACCAGGAATTTAAAAAGAATCTAATATCACAACAGAATGCCTCTCCCTACTATTATATTTCCAATGTAGGAAAACAGGGATAATTAAAAGTCACTGACATCAAAATATGCATGATAAGCAAATATTCATGTTGTATCCCACTACAATCAATGTAGATACATAAAATTCTAAGACTTGCTAGAAAATAAAGAATAAGCAGTATGAACAACAAAACAAAAGTAGACTTATGCACTAAAAAAACCTTTCCGATTTAGTGGAATTTTCCACCTGAGTCTATTCCATTAGCTCCATTCAAGGGTCAAGTTAGCAGTCCAAAAATGAGCAATCAAAGTGAACAAAGCACACAGTATAATATGCACAGATTAAGACTCTTTAAGGATTATAAAAATGTGGCTAGGGCACAGGAAAAAAAGCAATATTTAAAGCTGGGTACATGTAGTTCTCAGGTGATTCAGTGATTCCCAACACCCCTTAGGCACTAGAGATATGCCAATCCTCTCCTCTCATTTTACAGTGATATCAACAAAAGATTGGCAGTCATTTTCATCCCATATAAACCAGAATAAAAGAAGCTTTTTACTTACAGCACCATGAGATTAGACTTTTCTCATGTCCACCACACGTAGGTACCGTACCTGGGGCTTTCATCTAAGCATGAAATGATTTTCAAGTAACCAATCACTTTAATACTAGCAACTCTTAAAATACATGAACACCTCCATGATGGTATTTTACATAGATAAATTTACTCATAAAGAAGAAGAAAGGATCAACTTGCCCATCTCAGAAAGTTTGGCAAACACATGTTGCTCAGATACAATGTTTATGTATAGGTGTGTATGGGTACAAAATCCTTTGCAAAAAATCACAAAGAAGAAAAGCAGGAATATTTTAATAAACTGTACCTGAGTTTCTCTTCACACAAGCGAGAGAGAAACATCCCTAAAGCAAGGCCCATGTGGATTTGCACGGCTTGAGACTCATCAGCACTTGGTTTCCCAGGTAACCTGGCAGTCAGCATGTTCAGGACTTCCTCAACCTTCTCTTTGCAAGAGATAATGAAAACTGGCACAAGGAGAGACAAAGCCGTGGCGGCAGCAGAACGGGCAATGGCACTAGCTGTGTTTTCACCAGAATAGGACTTCTAGGACATGCCAAAGAAAGAAAACAGGGTTAGCCTTTTATTTACAACGTGAAGGAAGCATACCTATCATAAAAGCACTATAAAACCACACAAGTCTCTCTTAGATCCACCCCGGCTGACACCCAAAATAATACATTTTTTAAAAATCCAAACATTTTTGTCTATAGATTATGTTTTCATTATTAATGAAATATTTTGCTACTAAATAATCAATTAATAATATCCTTTTAAATTTGAAAAACCAAATTACAAGTGTTTTCATTTTAAAGGTTATAATTCCCTCACTATAAGGCTTGAAACAATTTCAGTGTTCCTAAAAGCCCACATGTGTATATATTTTTAAAAAAAAAAAAATTGAAGCTATCTGAGCTTGGACAAACCAGCAAGTCACATTATAAATGTCCATAAAGCTAGGAGTTTTCCAGGAAAGAAAGGAAAAGAGAGGAAAAGAGTTTAACTTTAGTATAGAGAAACAAGTATAAATTTAGCACAGGGATCTATTGGCACATCTCCCAAAATTTTTTGGTGGGAACACTTCCCAGTAGATGGATTATTTCCTACAGGGGGTTAATTCCTTTTAATTAAAAAGGAAGTTGAAATCCTAAAAGCCTTTGGTTACAAAGCAATAACCAGCTATTCAAAATGAAATGGAGAGCTCTATATGCCCCTTCCTACATGTAATTATGGGAAAAGAAATGAATAACAGCCCTAATAAAATGACAGAGCAGCTGAATATGAACAGCTTCTATAAGAATCCCATGTTAGAGAGTTCTACCAGACATTATATATATTTATAAATATGTCTCAAGTGGGAAAGAAAGCCCATTGATCATTCCTCACTATTATCCAATTTAAAATTTCAGACACACCATAAGGACGGTGTTGTCCCTTGCAGTCAAAGCACATTAAAATGTGTTTTTAATTCTAGGCCCATTTGCTCTCTAAGCTTTGGTACTTTCAGGATAAAAATCAAACATACTAAGTTACACTTTAAATTAATATAGCACTATTTTAATGATAATGTTACTCAAAACGACCCAGCTGGTAGCACACAGGAAATAAAGTAACTTTTAAAACACGGCTTTGAAAAGTATGGTAATGCAAAATCTCACAAAGGTAAGAGGCAATCAGCGCTGACTAGTAAAGAGATTATTTTTATTGGTTTGTAAGAACTAAGCAGCATATGAGAAATTTCATACAGTGCCCTGCTCTGGTGAGTATCTGAACTAGATAGTTATTACAAAGACCTCTAAATAAGCATCTAAAGTTTTCATTCATCATTAAAGAAATAAGAACACTTCTGATAGAAAATAAATCATCATACAGCAATTAACTTTTTGAGCAAAATTTACCTTCCAATTTAATTCTACATCATCTCATAAGTCATTTTTTTTTTTTTAACCTTGACTATGGTTAAAAATCTAGCTCTAAACCCAAAGCGCCTGATGAATACATACCCGATCTTCCCAAGGGCAGGAGGACAGAGGCACACACAATATACAGAGAAGACCTTCGGCATTGAGGTTTTAGGCTAAATTCATGATCTTAGCAACAGTTCAGAATTTGTATTGTATTTTTATTAAAATCAACTATAATCCTCTGCCACTCAGCTGATTGTCCCATGATCATTATAATTCCCTAGGCAATGGATAGTAATAGGGTAGAACCAAAATAGTTCTACACAGATATAGAAATAAAGCATGTACTACGACCAATAAAAGGAAAAGGAAACCTAAACAAAAAAGTGTTTTCTCATTTTGCTTCAAATCTTAGAATACAAGCATGAAGACAGAGGATAGGTAACAGGTGGCTTTTTTTTTTTTTTTGTAATGATCAACAACATTACTTTGTATTTACAGAGTATTTAACGGTTTTCAAAACATTTTTACATAAAATATATTATTTGATCTTCACAGTCTTTTTAGACAGTTGGCAAAGTATTAATTTTTACTTTCATTTTGCAGATAAGAAAAATAAGAATGATGAAGTAAGTGTCAACAGTCACAAAAACAAGAAAGGGGGAGCAAGGGCTACAATTACTGCAGATGATATTGTTCAATTCCTTCATTTTATAAATAAGGACAAAAAGACTCAAAGAGGTTGAGTGAATTGCCCAAGGTCACACAACCTGAAATGAAAAAAAAAAACTATGGCTAGAAACTTGGAGTCCCCACATTTCAGACACCGTTTATTCTACTACAACTGTAGCTCTCGACCCTGACTACACATTAGAATAACTGAGAGAGCTCTCAAAATGCTGATACCCAGAGTTTATCCACGAGCAATTAAATCAGCAGTGGGGACTACACATCAGTATTTCTTTTTATATGTGTGT